ACGTGTTGAAAACTTCACTTATCTTGGAAGTCTGATCATCCCTAATAGGTTGGTGTCTGACGGAATCCCTGCACGGATTTAAAATGCTTTGTCTGACTTTCGCCAACCACCTATGGCAAAGGCGAGATGTCCGTATATCAATTGAAGGACGAGTATACTGTGCGGTAGTTCCTTCTGTTCTGCTTTACGGTTGCGAAACGTGGCCATTAAGGTTAGAGGACACTCGTAATTTATATTTAATCACAGGTGTTATGGAAATTGTCACTCGCATCTGCTGGGATCACCGGGTAAGTAATAGTGAGGTTAGACGCAAAGTATTAGGCAATGATGGTAAACCAATTGATGAGTTTGTGAATCTTCATCGACTGTGATGGTTGAGCCACGTATTACGTATGCCCAACCACCGACTACCACGGTGAGTAGTGCTTACTAGTGTTGAAGACGGATGAAAGTTAGGGGTGACCAAACCAAAGCGTGTCATCGGTCTATAAAGTCACTAACTTCTGGTTTGAGCCATATTGGTAGATGCAAAGTGCTTGGTTGGGGTCTGCCCGACTATCTTAACCAGTGGTTGGAGACCCTGGGCGACATAGCTCAGAATCTATCACAATAACGTGGGTGTATACACTCTTTGTCTCCTCTTAACCCGTGAGATTAAAATTACATTATACCTTTCTCTCCACAAAGTAATTCATTCTTCCTGTATAATATCCTTATATGCAGTCCTTTTTTATGTATTACTACCATTGAAGTAACTATCATGAATTTTGTGTTCATCTTGTTGTGCTAATGATGTATGGTAACTTGGACCGATGCATATGTGCCTGATCCTACGTTGTAAATGATTGACTGACTGTTCTTCCTCTCCAGTCTTCCCGAAGAGAGTGTGGAGGACCTTTGCAGTTACTTCTATGTCTAACTTCAGCTGGTATGCTGTTTGACAGTACAATAATATTATCTGGAAAGTCTATTCACTTCAGATATTCCTTTAACAGAAAAGCAGTAAATGGCTTAATAATGGAATTAAAGCGTACGATGTTGTCAATAGTGCAAAGCTAAGTACGATCTTGTAGCATTTCACCTCTACTTGTGATAATTTGTGAGTCTATCCTGTCTTGCAGATACTTTCCAAGCACATTGGTCATAATGAGTGTAAATTGAAATCAAACTTTCCTGGTGTTAATTGGAATAATCCTATATTTACCATCTGATAAATGACGAGGCAGCATCTTAGTTGGAAGTTCAGAAATGATTTGTAGCCCTCATATGTTCTAGGACTTTTTATTTCCTTTGACATTTAATTCCACACATAATTAGTAGATCGGTGTTTTCGGTTCTTTCATTAATATAATAACTCTGTTAGTCACCTAGAAGCTATGCGTACAAGTGACCGGAATGTCAACACTGTAGTACAGGATTTTTGTGATTAGTAAATTCTTGCTCTCTTCATTAATTACTAATATCACAATTACATGAAGTTCAAGCTCTAAAATATCATCGTTAACTATTTCACATATGATTATAGTGAAGGAAAATTGGGGTTGTCTGTTTGGATGAAGCTAATGTCACTAAAATCCACTGTATTAACTAAAATTTATCATGATTTAGTTCGTCTAACAAGGAAAGAGTTGGTTTTAAGGAACAAGCTAGGGATTTGATACTGTTCTCTCCATCTTTCTTAATCCAACTGTGCTTTTAGTCATTGGCATACTCATTGCTTACCCTTCATCTCTCTGTTTGGCGAATGAGCTTTTTGACTGTATAAGGAGTATTTTTAAAAAAAAATTGGATGCATCTAGCCATTTGCATCATAACTTTGTGTGTTAATAAATGTCCTTTATGTTTTGACAGCAACCAGATGGAAGTTTCGCTGGAGATATTTGGGGGGAAATTGACACTCGGTTTTCATTTTGTGCCGTTGCTACACTGCATATAGTTGGAATGCTTTCCGAAAATACTATCGACATCGAAGCTTGTGCTTCATACCTTGAAAAGTGTCAAAATTTAGATGGATGTTTTGGAACTCGACCTGGGAGTGAATCTCATGCAGGTCAAGCATATTGTGTCGTGGGAGCTCTGGCTATACTTCGTCAACTACATCGATTAAATATAGACCGTGCTGCTTGGTGGCTAGCCGAACGTCAGCTTCCTAGCGGAGGCTTAAATGGAAGACCGGAAAAACATCCTGATGTGTGCTATTCATGGTAAGCTTAGCAGTACTTTTAATTGAATGAATTGTTATCCATTTATGCTTTGTACAATATTTCGAGGTACTTACGGGATGTGTATTTCAAATTTTCAGCTGTGAATCTTATGTAAAGTATCTACTCATTACATATATCAGGGGGATAAACGGTTAGACATATGTATAGGATAATATATAATTGCTCTTAATTGTACTTATTTGTGCAGTCTTCATTGGAACTACTCAATTGTTGTAATACTTATATTTACAAAAAATATGTCAAATTTATGGACACCAGGTTTTATTTTAGTATTTCTTTTGAATTAGCTAATCGTAATGTCACTCGTCAAGCACGGACTACACTCTGGTTTCAGTTATGATGTTATTTGGCCGTCCAAACTGAAGTAAGATGGAATGCGAATCTGAAACCTGTTGTCAACTGCTGTAACCTGTAAATTACAACTTCACTTTTTCATAATATCAAAGGTCACAAAAGTGTAAATTAATATAGGAACAGTCGGATTTTTGGGTTATGTTATATCATTTAACAGAGAAGTGGCTTATGAAATGCACAATCAATTTCCTCATTTTACAAAACAAATGGAATAAATCTAGAATAGTTTAATGATACTCCAAATGTCGATGTTTCATAGAGTTAAAAGCGTTTCGGAATATCATACAAATCCGTACTGATGCAATGGAAGACAGTTATTTCTCGCCATTTTGTCTGAGTTCGGTTTCTTGCTAATCTTTACGTTAGTTTTGTTTGCGTTCGCAATACCAAATTTCGTATCATATCAGGCTCATTTTTGTACTTTGATATTTTCTAGGTGGACTGTAGCTACTCTTACTATATTTGGTCGTTTGACATGGATTAACCAGACTGACCTTACTCGGTTCATTTTGGCTTCTCAGGATGACCAGACTGGCGGTATAGCAGATAAACCTGGAAATATTCCTGACCCATTCCATACTTTATTTGGTCTTGCTGGTCTCTCTTTATTAGCCCAGGTCGACTCATATTTCTCCTCACCAAGGAAAATGGAAAATGGAGTAAGTGGTGTAGAAGATCCAGCCTTTGTCGCTTTACAAATGGCTAGAAATAATTTGAAGACTATTAATCCAGTATTATGTATGCCCCAATACATAATAGATCGATTGCAGCTCAAATTTCAACTACTGTAAATATTTTCTACCTACTGCAGACTTATGTTGTATTTTGTTTTTTCCACTGGCTCTAAACATTTCATCCTACTACGTGGAGCTTATAATCGTTGTTCTTAACAAAATTGTGGTTCAAGTGTACTGCTGATCAAAGTGTTTTGGAATCAGTACTTTAATATATTGTAATGCGTACTTCTGACATCCTCAACATCAATCTGTTTGTGGTCTTTCGTTATCTATACAGTCCCTGTGATGTTCTTTTAAAACATACCTCTTGTAACAAAATTTTCAAAACAAAGATTTTGTATTTTCTCTTGTTTTTAATTAGAACCAGCTAAGCACTTCAATTAAAGTTAACAGAAAACCATCAGTAGTCGTGTATGTATGACCAAGTATCCCCGTGTGTATGCTTCGTGATAGTATTACTACTGATGGAATAGGATTTTTTAGGCAATTGGTCGAACATATCATAGTCTTTAAATTTTGAATGTTCTGGATTAGCTTACAATAAAATGAAACATGGTTCTGTATATATTTAAAATTTGTTGATACAGAAACTTCCAATAAATCAAATATATTTATACGGATAAGAAACTCCAGTTTTTAACTGATTGGGAAATTGCATGCAATTCAAAGAATTTGTTAATATAATTCTTTATTGAACATCATGGAAACGTTTTCTGAGGATTGGATTTATTGTTTATCTTGAGCAGTTTTTAATGCTCCTAAATAATCGACACATTTTTCAAACTGTTTTCTTCACTGGTAAATGTGGAAGCATAAGTGCTCCCAGCTTTTCAATGGTTGTCCGACATGTTTCGGTTCGTGATCTCAATAAAATTCAACAATCCCCACAACCCCCATATTGTTATTTTCTCACTATTGTACAAATCAATCCTTCAGTAATTCCATGGAAATTATCTAAAGTGCATTTTAGGATTTGTAACGGATTCTTAGTGTCACGTGATGTAGACTTTTCTTTTTCAAACTATACTATATAGTTTTGTTTTTGACTTACAATATGTATTTGATTCTATCGTATTTATTCACACGAAATTATAAATTAGTCATATCACTGTTTAAGATTCACTTCGAGCTTCCGAAATTCGGTATGCTTTTATTATGAGCTTGTAAGAGTAAGAAGCATTCACTAAAATTAGAATGTTGAGACGTGAGGGAAGGATCTCAGACGTAAGTTGCTACAATTCTATATATTTAAGGGATTCGTTTGACATCCAACAGTATAAACTGCTTTGTTGTCTATATGATTGGTGAAGTGGTGGCTTATTGGTTCAATTTTCGGCAAATAATTTCCAGATTCGAAATCCTCCCAGTCTATTTCGGTTTGGGCATCTGGGTATTATCATTAACCTTCACGCAGTGTGGCTCATATTCAAGTACCTGGAGAAGAAGGTAATTCAATTAACTTTAACTACACGACCATCGATAGTAAGGTGACTGGTTTTTTATGGATTTATCCGGCCTAACTCAAATATTCCAACGCTGTCCGACGATGAAAATGCTAATTTTATAGCTTCAAGGTACCCACTTTAATTAAATATAATAATGAATAATATAATACAGTAAATAATTTCAAATGACTATATATCCCTGAAGGTTTAGGAAAATGAGAGAAGGTTAACGACATTTATATGATAAATTCATTGCTATAAATGTATTTTCGCATATTAAATTTCTATTAACATAAATCTCACATTTAGTTAGATGAACTGCGATACAATACAGAAAGAGTTCTCACCATAATTTCATGTCAGCTTGTTAGCAAAAAATTATTAAAAAGCCATTTTATAGTTTGTAACTCCTCAGCAGTGTGTACTCATTGGCTCATAAGACATGGAATAGACGGCTTTTTTTATTTTCGATGTGAAGGATAGGTTCAGATAATTGATTTGTAATTCACTAGATCATACTTCGTTCATTTTACGAATCAAAGTGACTGAGTCATTCACGAAATAGCGAAGGTAAATGACTGAGTATCTACCATTACTCTATATTTTTAATAATAGACTCTAATCCTAACAACTTATCACCTCATATTACCTATAAACATACAAAAATACGATTAGTATCAAATTCTTATTGGACCACTGATTTATTTGTTTGTTAAGTTTTGGACAATGAGGCTGTACATTAAAGAGAGAGAAAAAAGAAAGCTAAATAAACAGTGTCTAAATGCTAAAGATGTTTTATTTATTTTGTTTTTAAAAAGGAAACTATGATCACTCTTTGTCAATTACGTTTATTCACTTATATGTTTCTGAAACAATGGACCTGATGAGAATAGAGTCTATATTAGTAATAATAATAATCACAATATCATTTTAAGTTGATTTATGTTATACATTGTTTAAATATTTATATATGTATCATTAAACAATAGTCTCCTTTCCAAATGAAACTTTATCAACATTGATTAATTTCCATTGAAACTATAAATATACAGTTGAAATCAGATCTCAGCAGTAAACAATAAATTTATGAAAAAGAAATATGTAAACTTGTGAGGGTAGAGTAATACAAATTGATAGTAATTCAAGATAAGAGAAAATATCTATAATTGAAAGGTTAATTAGTATTATTCAGTAGGAAAAAAGTAACAAACAAATTGGCGCCAATTTTTAGTATATTGTCCACTTCATGTAAGAAATAAATATATATAACTGTTTGAGATAAAAAATACCAGAGGCCTCAATATTTTAGGTTAGATTCTCCCACCAAGAGTATATCTTTAGTAATCAAATAATTATAATACTGTTATTGATCACAAACTTCATGTTTTATATAGAAAGAAAAAATTTTTATGTACGTACAGTAAGATAGAAACAGCGATTTCTCTAATATCTCAAAAAATGCTCTGTTACTGAAATCTGATTGAATATTTGTGTTGATAATTATAATTGCTATTAACAGGATTGATCATATTTGTAAGAAAATTTATAAATAATGAAATAGTGTTGATCGTCATCATAAATGATGGAAGATCACGTAAAAAAGTAACAATTTACTTAGTTCAACTTCTTTTCTAATTAATACAGAGAGATCTTAAAGGTGTATGTTTGTGCGCAATTTGTTAGTTTCAGTCGAAAAGCATGGGTTCTATTTAAATTATACATTTGATATTATGATTCTATCATTGCTTAAATTTAGAGAATTTTTTTAAAAATTAACTGATAGGATAACTGAAATGTTGAAAGATGTTAATCATTTATATCTATCTGATGAATTATGTATAGTTGGAGGGAATTTATCTTGGTTTTTAAGTTGTCCTGAAGAATGATTCATGTTTATAAGGCAAGGATGCTCAGAATTGGTTATCATTCTTGCTCTCATACCTAAAGGAGAAACAGGACGTGGTGAATATGATGATTGAATATTTGGATGTAATGATTGTCTACTACATGAATGTTGTTGTTGATGTTGATTTTCTGAGTAACGTGGATCGCCTCGTGGGAAAACTGATGGAGAAGAACTAGCAGTTAAAAGACTTCGTGTAGAACTGGCTGTTGGGACATGTATTGATGATGACGATTGTGAAAGATAATCAAAAGATGATTTCGGTTGTAAGTTCAAACTTATCATATTATTACTTGAACGGTTGGAATTAATACTTAGTTGAGTGCGTAGACTAATCAGTTGGTGAACTCTACTAAGTGCCATGTGGTAATCGGTTAGTAGTTGTCTTCCGTACTAGAAAAAAAATATAGTGATATATACATACATATGAATATCACACCAAAACATCGTAGATTAAAAGTTGGACGAATATATGACTAGATTTATTACTGAGAGCGCCTTAATTAATATTAGTCATTTCGTACGAACATATAGTTGTGCCTATCTGTTTATTACACTGCTCCTATACATTCGAGTTCTCGAATTGGTTACTTCGTGGTAATCACTATCGTGTTGCCAAGACCTTAGTATCGATCAAATTTGTCACGTGATCGCTAGTCTAAGGGAGTAGAAAGTCATAGTATTTTTGTTACCATTTATAATGAGAGCTTAATGGAAAGTTGATATTTATCATTGGCTGAAATCAACTGGAGTAACTGATGGCGATGGACCTAAAGTCCCGAGCCTCGATACCGGTCAATGGTGTTCATTGCTGGTATTCTATACTGATAGAAAATAGCTGTCCAGGCTTTCTTGAATTTCAGTGGTGCTACAACTGATGTTAGTCCATGTATTATGTTAATTTCAAGCACAACAATCGTCCTAATGAAGTATAGTTTTCATAATGTCTGAATTTTCCGCTGAAAATCAAGTAAACTTATTGAGTTGTTTATTTGAACACATAAATATTGGTACAAGAGAGCGCCAATATATATGCGCCACACAAAACAATGAGACCGCGAAGAGAAATAGAAAAAAAAACTAAGGAGCGCAAAAAGAAAAAGAGAACAAAAACGAAGAGATTGGTGTAAGGTAGTGTGGTAGTAATGAGGGAACGGAAAAGTACAATCGGAAGAAATCATTCAGGTAAGGGAGACACAACCACTTTTTATGAAGAAAGTAAAAGAAAGTTACAGCAGGATCGCCACTGGCATCTATTCTGAGCCATGTCTGATAACGTCTCTAGCCACTGTGTAGCACCATCTCTACGACCCCAACCAGGGAGTCGTGAAGGACCAACAGAAGCCAGTCCTTTGCAGCTTTCTTTCATGCCACGACACCATGTCATGCACTGACCACCTCTCCGCTTCTTCCAACCAGTCCCAGAGTCGGCAAGTAATGCACGACGTGGAATTCTCTGGGACGACATTCGTAGGACATGTCCAAGCCACCGAAGTCGGTGTTTCAAGATGGCGACACCAATTGAATTATCGTCTCTGTGCCTGAACACACGATGCCGAACCTCTGCATTACTGACACGATGTCGCCACTGAATGTCAGCAATCCTTCGGAGACAGCGATGACCAAACACAGAGAGTCGTCTAACATCCTCAACTCGGAGAGGCCAGGTTTCACAAGTGTGGAGGGGAACTGCTCTCACCGACGCCTTGTAGATCCGACCTTTTACAGCCAGACTAACATCATGAAGGCGCCAAAGGTGGCCCAGATTGGCATAAACCGCTCTGGCTTTCACTATACGTGCATTGATCTCATCACTCACACCCCCACCAGCACTTATGCAGCTACCCAGATACACGAACTTCTCGACTACTTCTATCTGCTCACCATCCAGGGTGAGTACAGGATTAGAATCCTGCCAGTCTTGTAGAAGTACTTTGCACTTCGAAGGTGCAAAGCACATACCATACCTACGGACACTGATTGCCAACTGATTAAGTGCGGATTGCATGCCTTGGGCATTATCGCACAGTAAGACAATATCGTCCGCATACTCAAGGTCGAGAAGTCTTTCTCCAGGCAACAGATCCACACCACCATTACTTACATCCATCAGAGCTGTTTCCAGAATGTTATTGATGGCAAAGTTGAAGGGGAATGGTGAGATTGGGCACCCCTGCCTAACTCCACGGATCGAATGGAACAATGGAGAAAGGTGGTTGTATGCTCTCACTCTGTCTGAGGTGTTTGTATATAGGGCTTTTAGGTTGTTAATAAACTTCTCAGGCACACCCTTCTTCAATAGACAATCCCAGAGAACAGTCCTATCCAACGAATCGAAGGCAGCCCTGATGTCAAGAAACACTACGATTGTTGGCCTTTGATAAGTATGGCGGTGTTCTAACATTTGGCTGAGGGTGAAGATATGATCAATACATCCTCTACCAGAACGAAAACCAGCCTGCTCCTCGCGAGTCAATCTTTCTCGGGTTTTGAACAACCTACGAAGTATGACGGAAGCCAATAGCTTGGACGCAATCGGAAGTAGACTTATCCCCTGATAGTTGTTACAGGAACGACGTGAACCCGTTTTAAAGATAGGGACAACTATCGACTCATTCCAATGACGTTGGTACACTCTCTAGCTCCCAAACCTTTCTAAACAACGTCGTCAGTTCCTTAGTCAGAATGTCACCACCATCTTTAAAAAGAGTTGGAGGTAAGTCATCTGGTCTCGGTGATTTGTAGCGCTTCAAGTGTTGGGGTTCCTTGAGGACTTCCGCCTCATTCGGTGGATCAATCGTCACCGGCCATGGAGGGTAAGACAGACCGACCGATGTTGTCGGAGCAGCAGGCCAGTTGAACTGCCCTTCGAAAAATTCTGCCCATCGTCCAAGACGTCGATGGATGTTAGTGATTGGCATCCCATCATCCTCGCAGATTGTTTCACTCACACCAGACTTCTTGCTGTCAGTGGCTCGGATGAGTTGGAAGAGCTTCCGGTAGTTACCAGGTGCAGCTGCTGCTTCCAGCTCATTAGAACGCTTCGACCACCAGGCTTCTCGGTCCTTACGCAAGTTTTGCCCAATTTCACGACGTAACAACCTTCGTTTGTGGTCAAACTCACGGTCACCCGGAGTAGACCGACGGGCTTCAATGAGTTGTAAGGAACCTGCAGAAACCCAGTGCTTATAGGCGGGACGTTTCGCGTACTCGTAACTGACTGTACCCACCATTTTCATGGCGTTATGCAATTGCAACCAATGCTCATCTATACTATTCGGTGGAATGGTAGCTAGCCTAGAAACTAGCTTGGTTTGATACTTACTAGCAACAGAAGTTGCAACTAACTTGCTGACATCAATCCTTTTGTGGAGGTCACTTCATTTGCCACTGAAAAGTAAGGTAAGATTGGCGCAGACCAAGGCATGGTCAGAGTCCAGATAGGTACTCCAAAAGGAGCGGCAGTCTTGTACACAACCACGCCAGCGGTAGCTGATCGCGATGTGATCAATCTGAGTCCAGGCTTGGGATGCAGATGGAGGACGCCAGGTGGCACATCGGCGATGACTGTACCGAAAGTTAGTGCTAGCCAGAAACAGGTTTTGGTCTGTGCAAAGTTGCAGTAGACGGTCCCCGTTATCTGACCTGCGACCAACGAGTCCCCATCGGCCACCTAAACGACTCTCTTCTGTGCCTAGACGCCCGATCTGAGAATTCAAGTCTCCGGCTAGTACTACAATATCTGTCGAACGCACTCTCTGGAGAAGAACAGATAACTGGTGGTAAAACTCATCCTTGATTGCATCCGGGCTGCAATCTGTCGGGGCATAGACGGAGATGACGAAAAGACATCGTTTCTCACGCCGATTTCTTCTCACTTTGATGGAACTTTCTAATCTAACAGCACATAACCGACTGTTAATGGGAATCCAATCGATTAGTGCTGCCTCAGCTCTAGCGCTTAGTGTGACACTAACGTCAGCAAGACTAGACGAAGATGCCACAGGGTCCCCGGATAAGCGCACGTAAAACAAGCTTTTTGAAGTGACAGATGGAGAGCGAATTTGTAGTACTTCACCAGAGTCTTGAATACGGGTCTCGGATGGACAGCAGACATCGATATGAAGACTTTCCAAAGACATAGCCAGCCCTATCTGTTGTCCAACCTGCATAAGTGTGCGAACGTTGAAGGCAGCCAGTTTGAATGGCGCGCGTGGTTTCAGAAAAACTGCTTCAGCACTCATATTCAGTGGAAACATGCAATTTTCAACCGGACAGTGACTCGAGAACGTTTAGATACAGTCGAATTTCCACCAAAGACGAGCCACTGTATAAGTATAAAAGAGGATGAATAATGTGGCAAATAATAATCATAATAATAATAATAATAGTAATAGTGATAATCATAATTATAATAGTAATAATAATGACAATAATAGTAATGATAATAATTTGAATCAATTGATTGTTTTTCGAAGCGAGAAAAGTAGTTTCCATAGATATAGAGAGTTCATCGTTTGCGTGTGGGCTGTGATACTGCCTGAGTGCCCAAACCGAAGCAGGTGGTTATCTTAGGGGCCACACTCCGAGCCTTTGACCTAAAGGTCTAACCCACAAGACAGTGGAGCATCGTAAGGAGATCCAGTCCCATGGTAGCCGGTGACCAACGATTGGTTCATACGCCATTTGTTCCCGCAGGATACTGGAGCCCATGTGCACCATTGGTTTGGGATCCGGTTAAAGCGCCAGACATTCGCTTTTCGTCCTCTCATTTTCGTAAACAACACCCCCGCCACGAGAAGGCAATGAGTAGGACTTCCCTGGCAGAGGCTGTAAACGCGTGGCCGTGTGAGAGTATTTCGAGAGGGAGAGCGGACTCTCCCCACTCTCGGCCGTACCAGAGCAACTTAAAAGAGAAAATACTGATAGAAACAAATTTTGATGAGGATTTAGGAAAGCCGACTGATTAAGTCATAAAGTAACAAATCCACTTCTCATTAATTTTTTTAATTCATATACTAACCCACTTACTTTAGCAACACGTAGTCGACTAACCCAATGACGTAATGCTTTCTCATCTGTTGCACAGAAGCAAAACACATGTGTCGAAGAAGGATCTTGTGCAGAATAGGGCTGAAATAGGGAACAATTTACACAATATCAAAAAATTTCGTTTGCTATGAATTAAAACAGAAGTCACATTGTTGACATTTAATCTTTAGAGATTATAAGTATTTACTTATATGACTAAAGCGAATCATGCTAAATGATAAATAATTACATTTGATGATCAGTTGAATTATTCCTTGCTTGTTAAAAAAGATTTAGATGTACTGAAATACTATCATATTTATATTATTTGTAAGAATTCGTTATATAAAAACGTCTCCTACTTTAAATGTCTTCAAAGGTATCTTTCCATTGAGTTCATAATTATCAATGAATGAGTGAAACGAGTTAAGTTACCAGTGAGTCTTTGTCATACTAGATTCATTATCAAGCTAAGATTGAAATTTATGGTCTGTAATATCAAATCATGTCATTAGGCGATGCTGAAACTGTCCACTGAGTAATGATATATTAAAACCAACCTATGGGGAAAAGGTTTGTTTTTGGTAAAATTAATGGGTGATGCTAACACTTTATCGAATTTATAGGTTGCAATAGTAGAAATATTACAAAATCATCATGATTAGTATGACATTTCACAATCACTGGATCTCATTTAATAGCTCATATCGATTTTTTTTCATCCAGAGGTACATACGTGGGATCTGTGCGTGGTGTTACGTATTTAGATTGTATGAATTTGTACAGCATTCACTTACACTTTCTTGGGTGTAAATTAGAGATGGCTACATTTACAGATTTTAATTTAAATTCATTAAAAAAACAAGAACGCAGACGTTTTACGGTCGATGGTATGTATGGAACCATGATTTTGCTCTCAAATTTTCCCTCTCATTAGTCATCATCCAATTTATAATGGTTACTGAAGTTTTAAGCTCCCCGTAAAAGTATTTTAACTACTAAGTGGTTGAAATTGGTAGACACGATGTCCTGGGCATAGGTTTCATGTCGTTTGTTACTCGTCGGAAAGGAGTCACCGTAATCTTGAGAATTGACGCCCCCTGAAGAATTCAATCACGTGTCACTCAGCGTCACAGAATTAGGTGTTGCTTTAAGTCTCCTAACATCGTAGCATAGTAGGGGTGATACCGAGTTACTTAGACTAGTTGCCACAGTGCAGCGTGGTCACTATTTGTTCGCCACCCAGAGGATAAAACAAACATATTATTGATCACTACTCATTGATCATATATCGTATATATACAACTGAATTCAAACAAACATGTTACAGTATTTCTCTATAATAGCCTGTTAATGAAGCAACGTTTGACTTTTTTGACTGCCGCTCATAATCTCATTTATATTAAAAGAACCTAATTATATTTAAAACTATCATTAACGTTAGCAGACCAATTATCTATCGTGACTTGTCGTAAAAATTAGAGCAGTTCTACACAAAAAGTCAACAATTCAAGTATGTAGAATGATTTATTTTTGGTTAACAAAAATAGAATAAGTATATCCAAGTCATCATACCGATAGGTCATATATAAAAAGAAATAAAACAAACTAAATTAGAATTCTCACCTTGAAGGCGAAACCGTGTGGAGTAGGTGCACGCATCCGTGACCAACCTCCTGTAGTTGTATAAAGTTTTAAAGGTCCATCCAAAACCAGAATACGAATAAGGTCTGTAGACTGTTATTTAAAGATGCAAATAAAATAATATATATGTACGATGTTAGTGATTAAAGCTGAATGGACGGTTATATCATGTTTGGATTACTAGCAAAACCTGAATGTGAATTCAAATGTTTGACATCTATGTAAATGTAAATTAGTTACCTACATACACTGGTAATGCAAATGTTTTCAGTGAATAACAGAATTCACATCGGAGTGTGTTGGAATGTTGAACATTATCAGAAGAATCCCCTTGGCCTATGATCTATGTTAGTTGGTGTATATATGATATAGTTATATTAACTATCTCATAGGATATAATACTCGTAGTGGAATATAGAATTCAGGTCATTCTGTTTCACAGTCACAGACGTTGTCAAGGAATTATTCGTTATTAGAAAATAACTAAACTTTTTTATTCAAGATTTTATATGTTCTATCTTAGAAATTAGTGAAAATTTATACTAACTGGTTTCAATAACAGTGAGTGTTCAAAAAAATTAGAGTTAATAAAACCATTATTCAGTATTTATAATAACGGAAGTATGAATAATACTTTGGTAATGAACAATATAATCTTAATTGTAATCCGAATGCTTGTAATAGCATAATGCATTGATCATATCATCAATCACTATGCCCCTGTTATTAATGGTAAATAAATAAAATGAAATAATTTCGTTTGATTCCTGCTTCATAGCCTAAAAATATCTTGCATGATAACCAGAATTGAATTCACTTATTTGTTTCTTAATTTATGAAACAAATATGTTTACAGAATCACAAACTGATAGTCGAGAAACAATCTACCCAATATTCAGTTTATCTGAAATTATAAAGTCAAATTTTGGTAATGACCCCCACAATGAGTACATTACTTTGTTTCATATGTTAACAATTATTACTAATGTATTACATCGATGACACTATCCATATTAAAACTGTTATTATTTTGACTTTTTGTTATACATCTTGTTAATCTCATATTAATTTTCTGATACGGTGTACTACCCTAAAGTGATCTACATTTATGCCAGATTCTATATTGATATTTACCTGCTAACTGCATAGACAGTGTCTATTAGCCGTATGTTTCAAGAGTTACACCTTGAAAATATGAGATGTTCAGTCAATATAGAGATACATTCTTATTATGTTCTATTAGTTAAGAAAATTGACAAAATATTTAGAACATTCATAATCTGTACTTACTGAGAATGACTTTTTATTCTTATTTGAAGTGTACAAACCGGAACTTCTTAAAACACATAAACGACGTGACCATGATTTATCACCAGGTTTACGTATAAACAAATAATCACGCCATTCTGGAAAACCACTGGTATCAATATTATTCAACATTGTCTAACAAAAAATATATAAAAACATTAATAAAATAGTTAAAAATAATCCTTGATATCAATTTCCTGCTAATAATCGTTTGAAATGTTAGATCGGATGTTTTGACAAAAAGGTTAATCATCATTTGGTTTTTGTTTATATCACTAGCTAAAGTTGCGTTAATTTAAAAAAAAAACGGTAGACTTGATTGTAATATCATTGGAAAAGTATATATATACGCTGTCAGTTTCTAATTTCGCTTACTAGACTGTCCTAATCTTACACTTCTGTTATCAATGACTACTATGGATTACTTTTGTAAATAAATGTAGATACATTCGATGCGCTTGCGGAGTCGTCGGGTCACTTTTTCTCCTGTTCAGCTTTTCTTATTCACGCTGCTCTCTATGCTGATTCAACACCCAAAGTAATTCGATGCTACACGTTAACCGTTACAATAGTCAATTACATAGATTAATAGCAAACACAAAGTAAAGCACTTGAATGAATCTGTTCAAGAAATACTTTGATAGTAACTATCAAGAACTTTAAGGTAAATGGCATCAATCTTTCCATATTTTTGAATCAATTTTTGTAAGTAATCAAAACGAATAATTAGTTTAAAACTGCTTTCGAACTATCAATAGGATAAGAAAAGTAGTATAAAATACCCACTTTTCTTATTAAAATGAGGTTATAAACTATTCAGCCTTTGATAGTGGAATAAAATAAAAAAACTCGAGAGTTTCATTTAATTTCATATATGAACTGGGGTTAACTAATCGCTAGTTTTGTTTAGTGTACGTGAATAAATGTCAACAGACCAACAAATTTTACTAATCTCCATAATCCATTTGTAGGAACAATAAACAGATCTCGAATAGTGACTGACGGTGTTATGTATTACTAAAGTTTTGTAAAGAAATGATGACTGTAGAAGTTCAACCGTGCATACAGAGTGAGTCAGTTACCGAACTATAACCCTAGATAACTGTCACACGCTATTGAGAATAATGAGAAACTGTGAATCAATGAGTCCTAAGTTCTTGCCCGAAAATTAAGTACTTGATACAAAACTCGAATGTTCAATGGCTAATCTCTGACGAGTTTATGAATGAACTGTTGTGCAACCTCATATCGAGAACACCTATCAAGTACTCCTTGGATATCAAAGATTCTGTAACTGATCTAAGCCCATGATAAAAACCATTTCGAAGTATAATATATTCAGTTTCTTTTATTTATTATTCACTCAGTACCTATGCTTTACTAATAGTAAAATTAAAATTCCTAACATTTAACTCACATTTCAGTGTTTAGCAATTGTTATCAATTTTTACCAGACAAAAGACATTAAGAACTAATACGACTTTTATTTAGTCATGGTAAGGTCGTTTGGAAGATGATTTTTCTTAAGCAACCTACAATCACTTAACTAATCCAACAGTCGATTAGTGCAGAGGGATCATTTTGTGCTGACCTAGAAACAATTGTCACTAGATTGTCAAAATTAAGTTCCCAGTGTATCTTATGTTTTGGCTTTAAAATTATATATTACTGTTTCACGACCTCATAGATGATAATAATTTATCGACATATATATATATATGATACAGCTAAAAATTTTCAGAATATAGACTAAATTTTCATTCTAGTTTTTGTCTTTGTTTATACTAGGTTAAAAAAAAGCCAATCGATTATACTCGTTTGTCTATGAATTCGGTTTTTGCACAGAGATATGGCAAACTAAACACTTACTTGAATAGCTTCTGCACTATGAAAAGCTTGTTTTGTAGTGGTTTCTTCACCAATCCAATACTTGATAAAGGAAGAAAAAGAGAAAGAAAAGATTTTTTTAAAACACGACACAAGTAATCTAGATTATTGTCAAAAATATCATACAAACAACTGTGTTCTAGTTAAGAGTGAAAAAATAATGTAAACTTAACTTCATACAATCTGATAGTTATTTGAAGTAATATGAGACTAGTGAGAGAAGAATAAAAGGTAAACTGATTAGTCAAGTTAGAAAAATGCAAGCAACTCAATACTATGAAATATTTAGCCCTATAACAAGAAGAACCTCAACACGTATACGTTGATAAAATTTAAATATGGAGCTAAGGTCGGTGAAGATTTTTACAAAAATAGTCGTAAATGATTAAATATTTCTATTTTAGTTTAGTACCACTAATTAACCAAACATAAATTTGTATGCTTGACTTTGAGAAATACTTTGTCTAGTGTAAATGTTAATGACAGTCGTGACAAAAGTCGATGGATAAAGACTTAAAACAAACGGAACTTGGAATTAATTAAGTGATATTTTCTATGTATATAAGAATGTTGAATAATTACTAAATACACTTTCCTTGTCTATAAACTCAATACTTATTCTGGTTCATAGGAAATATGATTTAGCTTAAGGAACCTAGGAGTATCAGAATGTAAATAATACAGATGTGAAATGATTCCAATGCATTTTTAAACTGTATATAATTCATCATCACGACTATTATATCATGAATGTTTCTCACAAAAGTGAATTGAATGTTAACAATAATCATCATCCCAAAAAAAATTTTATGAACTCTAATTAGAATAACTATTCGTTAATATACTCATTGATAGCAATAGTAATCAAGTAACCCTACTGTCAAAATGTCCATACCTATCGTATTTCTCATATTGATTAGTACTAATAGCAACAAATAGCTAAATAATCTACTGACAAGATTCTTATTGCGAGATTTCAAGATACTACGTTTAACTCCATATAGATTCGTAGTGGCGCACTATTGAATGACCTCAACCACCGATAAATAGCTATATATTACACTCTAATCTGTAATAGTTCACTCGTTTATATATCGAAGAAAACACTTAAATAAGCACTGTTTATAAAGATTACTAGGCAGTTTAAATAATAGGAGTTGAGTAAAGAAATCTCTTCATCATGTCTTTATAATATTTCATAAAATTTACTGATATTTGTAGAAAATAATTCATCATATAATGAAAATTTCCATTCTCCATGATCCTGTCATCTTTTCTCAGAAATACACAAATGTGTTCGTTATAAGTGGATAAGATGAATAAATCACCCATCAATAAAGGTTTGTCTTTAGAAAAAGAACAAAATGGTAGTATTTTCCTATATTAAAGAAGTAGATTGATTGAAACGTTAATACACGGTAAAATAATACTACATGAATATTGAAATAATTTTTAAAGATCTGTTTCTGCTATGTATTTAATAATATATCTGTACTAAATAAATCATATTTAGAATATTAGATGATTCTGAATACTTTTGATGATGTGATTTAGAATTAACGAATATTGTATTCGTAATTCTATTGATCAGTTAGTATTTATTGAGTTGATGATACTAGGAAAAAACCAAAATTTGCAGTCGATCATCAGTAGGATCATAAACAGAATTATTTGATCTCTTAGTAACTCATAGTCATGATCTGACAAATTTTCAAATACCAGTCTAAAATATTAACAACCCTGTTCTGTTCAGTTTATATGTAAATAATGATTTTTGATTTGATTATATTTCTGACTGATGATTATTGAACAGATTTCATAGATACTTGGTTTTCTAATAACTGACCTATAGTTATTTCAGTTACGAGTTGTTATGACATGAAACACAATTTACCAGTCAGTAAAAAAAAGCAAATTGAACAAGACATGAATAGATGGATGTAAAAATTAGAAATTGTATAAGCCGTCTACAACGATGTATGGAAATAGTTGCCTAGATTACAATATTTATAAAGTTGGATAGTTGTAAATATAAATTATGTTTTAATTAATTCACAATGATTTTTTTTCACATATTCCCTTTATTGAACTATATTGCAGTTTTCCAACCCAACTACTGGCATTAAATGATTTGTGAAAGCTCTGAATCTAGTTTTTACACTAATTTGGAACCTGTCAACAAAGTGTATGTGAATTCACAAGGAAGCGGATGGTTCATTTTAGATTCACACTTACGTACAGTTACATTTTACATTAGATCCAACATTATCGACTTGTTTACCTCTTTAAGTTTTTTATAATCCGAACTATCTTTTTGTCTAAATCCAACAGTTGATGTCATAATCAACGGAAACTTCATATATATAGAAAGTATTATGTTTCGAATTTACATTATTACTTCACGAAAGTTCTAATATAAAAGGTTTTGTATGGTATAATCATGAATAAACTAGTCAGATAAGTTACATTCATAATAACCTTGTAAATGTAGCATAAACTAAAATGATCATCTAAATAGTTTACAATATTAGAAACATGCAGATACATTTTTTGATTATTGATATCTATGCATTGATAATCAATAAGTTAATGGATTTTAGAGTTCAGTTCACTGTATGAATGTTTATAAATAGAACTCTGTTGTTTTGTTTTACATGTTTATTGATAGAATGTATTGTATGACCATCAGTTATATCCAGCGTAATAGGGACAATATAAATTTTTATTCAGCTCTAATTACCAAATTATGTTAAAATATTATTTTATTAACGTTGAATTTTATTGTGAAACTGTTGGGGAAATCCAGAAAACTACTCAAAAAAAGCCAACAAAGGCTGTAGAAATGCTGAGAAGCATCTTATTCAACCAGCATTCAATGGAAGTTTCGACAGGAACATCTAGAAGTTGAAGAGTCACATGTCGAGTTTCCGATTGGATGATTACCTATACTGCTATTATGTTTAGTGGCGCTCCAGAATTTTCTGGGAACCCAGGACCATCTAAAATACCATAAAAACCGTAGATTTTTTGTACGCAAACGAACCTTTGGAGTAAGGCGTTTCTTCCATATTTCGCGCCTTTTCTCTCGTGTTCAAGTTGCTGTGTAGAATCTAGCCTGGGGGTTACTATAAGTGCTTAGGAACCGAATCTAGAGTTCTATTAAAAGACTTATCAGAACCTTCAAAGTTTTTATTTTTTTATGTTGATACTTAGAACTGTATTTGGTTAATTTCTGCGTCTTTACTCATCTGCAGATGTATGACGAGTTTTGGATAAGATGAAAAGCAAATATAACGTAAATTCTACTGCTAACCACCTTCACGAGTATAACTAACCTTGCCAAATGAAATCTCGTTTAGTATTCGACTGAAATGATTTAAATCTAAGTATTTTTAGATTCTCATCATAAGAATCATTTGAATAATGAGAGTGTTAAACTGTCTGTACATTGTTTCTATGTTTATAAGGTTACCTGTGTACTATTAAAGATGAAAACAACTGGTCTAGCTCTTGCTTATTTTAATTATAAATCAACGGTGGATAATACCATGCGATTTCATGTACTGAATGAAGTGAATACTTAAGTCAGGGGTTGTAATTTGATGATTTAGATTAACGATATACAGATCATCCTTAGATGTAGAAGCATATGTGAAGAGAAAGATAATTTATTTTGTGTTTTAATCTTATTTGTATAATCTAAATCTTTCATAAATATACACATCTAAAAGCTGACTCACAGTTCTAAACATGTAACTGAAATCAATGTCTTTACCTGATGATTTGAATTTCAGTTTTGATGAAACCAATTAATAATCAAGACTAAGTAGATAATGGAGAAAGTAAAATGTGAACCTAAAGCTTTTTGCGCAATCTACAAGGTCTCGACAGTTCATTATGTATCGCTCACTGCTCGAATTCTGGGTAATTATGCATCTGAAAACTTAATTGTCATTAGGATTTCATGAAATCCTTTGTTTTGGTCATATTAGATCGCAGCATGATAGAAATGAAAATGTGAATTTATTACAGTTTAAGTTAATATTACTTCAAAACATACATCTGGTGATTCAACAAGACCAAAGTGATCCGGTCGTTCTTCAAAGAAGATCATATTTTGACTTTTTGTTGGCCAAGACAAAATACAATCAGACACAATGTCATGTTCTTCAAATACTCGTTCTACAAGAAGAAACGATAAAACAAAGCAAAAGACACATCGTAAAAATATGTTATGGTTGGTTTTAATTGTTAAAATATGGAAGTTGTATAAGCGTAAACTTTCAAAAGAAAAACTTGTGTCAGTATTAGAAACACATCCTTTCCTATGAAAATTATTTCATGACTGATTGGATCAATATTATAACAACTCAGACAAAAATTAGATTAGAGAGGATATAAGAAATTGTAAAGTGTGTTCACTCGAAATCAAGGGTGAAAAATAAACGTGTATAAGTCAAATACTATTGTCATATATCCTGAAATTATTCTTAGATTACTTTCGCTTGGAATTAAATATTGCGACAAAAGTGATGTTCATATTACTAATTAGGATGAATAAATTATAAGATACTGTTAACTTTAGGCAAATGGTAGAAAAAATCCTTTATATTTACTGAAAATGCAATAAGTTTATATTTATGCTTAAAACACTAGTTCAATAGTATCAACGTTTTAGTACCAAATTACTTAATCTCAAACTTAGTAGATTAGAATATAGCTTCCTTAGTTATATCTATAAATCTAAATAAAATCTGATGTGACAGAAAATGTTTCCGTTTGTAGGTGATATCAAAAAGGTATTTTAACACAGCTGTTATCATTCATTAATAAAAGAATACTCAAAACAAAATAGCTGTCCAATACTTCTAGGTTTCCAGTAGTTATTAAACTTAGATCCATTCGTGCTTTCAATAATATAAAGAATGAGAATAGATGTGTGTCTTCTATGGTTTGGTAATATATACTTTATTTTAGAGAGTTATATAGACAATTGAATTTTATAATTTAACACTACTGACTAATCTTGCTAAGTCAACTATCGGAAATCGGAGTGAATTGAACGACTGTTTCATCCACTTTTATCGATCGTTCAAAATGTCACCTGAAATCGAATTTAGACATTTGAGTCCTTGTGGGGAGTACTGATATTCAAATGGTTGAGTTCTAATCCAACGGTTGGATTCACAATTTCAGTCGATTAACGACATTACTTGAATATTATCCATCGGTATAGATGATATTTTTCTCAAGCTACACATGGATGATGTAAGTGTACAAACGCTTGTTGATGCATCAAGGAAATATGAAACAAGTTCTAATCTATTGATAATCTCCCAACTGTTACATAAATTTTTATTTTGAAAACTATGCAAACTACAACAGACTGTAAATATGTTAAGTTAAATAAACTAAGTAGAAAGTGAAATCAACTAATAGTATCACATTATTGTACATTACGATATAGAAATCAGAATTAAGTGTGATAATGAAAATAATGTTTTAAACAATTTGATCAAAATTCAATAAATTTATTTTACCTATTTTTAAAGCTGGAACTTTTTCTACCAAAGCTAAATGTACTGAAGGTTGTAAAAAATTCTTTTCAATCATCATAGTAGCCACTTCACCAGCGGTCATTTGATGTTCAATTAATATTGCTTTAGTTGTTCTATCCGGACGAAATACACGTACTACTAACTAAAAAATATAATTTTTGAAAAGAAAATCTAATGAATGAAAATTAAGAAATTGAAGAAATAATGAGAATGTCTATGTGAAAATATAATTAAAATTGGGATATAGATAATTGAGGTAATGAAATAATCATTGATTTAATTAACCCACCTTTAGCAAATATGATAATGGAATTTATGAGTGAAACACTAAAAAAAATTAGAATAATCATCCATTAGTTTGTTCACGGAGGATATGTAGTGAACGCGAACTCAGATGGGGAAGACCAATTTACTGTTGAATACAAAATTACAGAGTGCTTTCGTAAAATATGAAAGCCGTACATTACATACATAATTTGCACATCTTCTATCATTTCTCTTTTACATATTTCATGATTTTTTTAATCCTGTTGTTATTACGATTACTTTCTATGCTCTTCAATTAAATCTAATCAATCTTCTACTGACATGCTTTCCACTTCCGATTGGTGCTATATACTACTTATATCTGTCAACATAAATAGCATACACCACAGATATATGAATATTTTCGTAGATATACTATTTATTATTTCATGACATAATCTGATGAATACAACTGAACGATAATTATTTACTTAGACCAAATTGTTGATACCCAGTATACCAACTAAACAACTGGTAAGTGAAATATTTTTTTCTGACAAGAGTCTACATGAATAACAAACATTTTAAACAAACAAATTGGGTTATGTAGGTCGCTCAAAAGAAGTTGAAATCAGCAACTGACCACCAAATTTAATTCATGCGCAGAATCGATAAGATGTTAAACATTGTATTGATTTCTATCTTAAGCTACCTTATTTTTGAATTATTTTCCCAATTATTGTTAGCCTACGTTGATCAATAGTTAGTGTTTTATTCAAAAAAGCCTAATATTCGAATATTTCGGTGAAAGTCAGGAAACCTCACTTAAATTATCAGTATAGGGTTGTGGAGATTGTTGGGTCTTAATTGAGAACATGAACCAATCAATGTTAGACCAAGCGTAAACGAAGGTCTCGAGTTCGAGTCCAGGGTGTGGGGTCGTGGCTGCTCACATCTGAGGAGTCCCATGTTAGGACGAAATGGGCACCCAGTGCTTTCAGGTTTTCAATGGTGGTCTAAAACTGATCGGTTCACAATCTCAGTTTAAATTTCACTTAAATTAATGAAGAAGCTGATATTTATTGTTCCAGAACTCTATAGATGAAGACTAAAAACGCTCAGTTTACGTTAAGCTAACAGGGCGAAACCTTACTTGACTAAATTAATTTACTCATTCATTACCGGTTTAAAGAAGACTTCAAAATGTCAAAACTTTACATCAGTAGATCAGTAGGAACTTAACAGTAGTTGAAATTACGATGGGAATAGTAGTATTAGATTAAACTTGGATAATATGACTTAAAAAATGAATGAAGTTGAAAAGTGAGAAATATGAAATAATATTCGAATTAAAAATTTGAAATAATATATGTATGGATAGTATCGATAGTGATGGTATTCATTTTGAGCGATATCATTCAATGTATTCAACTATAAATTAAGGTTGTTTGATGAAGCTAGTCAATTTCAAGTTAAATCAACTTTGACTTTTGAACTAAATTTATTTTACCGGATGAAGAATTAGTTTTATACTTAAGTATTCTTTTCCGATGAAAAATTTGTTCATTGATATGAATAATGTTTAATCATTTAATTGTGAAGTGATAAAATGTAACATCATCAGAATAGTTTAAATGACTGGTTGTGTAGTGAACAGAACACGGGTGGGGGCAACCGAATGTATTTGACACAAAACTACAGGACTTGTTAATAGAATCTAACAATCATAAAGTAAATGCTTGATTTGCAAAATGACTCAGACTTCATTGTTCTTGCATTTTCATACAAATTGCATTCTGTTTCCATTCTTTATTATTCGATCCTCTTGTTTCTCTGCTGCCAAACCTCCTGTTCACGACTAGCATCACATACTACTTATGTCGATATAAGTAGCACACACCACAGTAGCAGCAATAATTTCAACAACTAACTTTATAATTCACTAAATATCAAATTTAGTCACCATAGTAATAACTGAAGACCAAATAACTCAATTACATCATCAAAGAGCTAGTCAAAACTTTATGAATACAATACAACTATTTAATAAATGATATTGAATGGTACAAATTTCAATCACAATCATAAATATCAATTTTCACTGATCATGTATTTATCATATTATTGATAAATGTTTGATCACTCTATAGTATGACCAAGAAAACAATAATAACAAAAAAATAGTAATAATTTTTGAAGGAAACACCTTTTAAAAGTACCTAGTTACATTAATTTGTTGTTGTCGAAAAGAAAAATAATAAACATTCATATCAGATTATATTTGTATTCACGCTATTCTGTTTGAAAAAAAAATAACACTCATCGGAGACGAATTAGAAGGAGACAAAACAAATGAAATATTATCCAAACAAAATATTTTATTTTTTGCTAGAATGAACTGAAGTGAAATTGGTTATTTTAAATTTTCGAAGGGGAAATTTAAGGTTTTGTATATGTGTTGAATGAAATTGGTATATATGTGTACATTTGCATTTTTAAATGGATGACTATGTGTATGACAAATTTTTATTTAGGAACAATAAACTTGTCTATTATATATCATCAGTTTATATTAAATAGTATACATTCACATAAAACTAGTTAGTTTCCCTATTATGCTAAGAATGCACTAGTACGTTATTCTCTATGCTCTCTATCTCATCTACTACCTAGCGTTTGATTTTTAATGCATAGATTTAGCTATATAGACTTGCACAAATGTTTACATATATATGAACTTATGTATATTAACTTCTAAGTTTCACATCACGAACTGAATAGGATTATACAACCACTAGAAACCAGGAAGCATTCACAATTGATTGATCACTGGGTGGTGATCAATGTCATGCGTGTCAAGTCCTTATTTAGTGCAGATCGAATGCTATCGACCATGTTGCAATTTGGCCACCAGTCTAGGTGACTCAACACTGCGTGCACTATATATTGAGGTTAGATGGTACACCTTGCTGACGAGTGCAAAGTAGCACGAAACCCGGGTCCAGGGGTTCCTGTCGACTACCTCCAACCACCAACTAGGAAGCATTGGACTTCTGTTTCATTTTGCTGTCGGACTTCCCATCAATAAACATTCATGACCCCGCTGGGAATCGAAAACAAAATCTACAAGTATCACTATGTACTTTTAACATCTAGACCACGGCATAGACGTTATTGTAACACCACCATCAATTTACATTGGTTATATTTTCCTTACTCCAGACAAGATTAATTTCCACCAGTCACGACTTCTCAGTAGAAATTTATAGTTTATATTTCAAAAAGTAATTCCCGGAGTTTTAGCAAGAATTTGTAACCAGAGGAGTTCAACCATGTTGACAAACGAATAGTTGTTGTATTCAAAAAATATAAAGTGGTAATTATTCCAGAAGTTTTGGCAAAAAGTTGTTGAAAGATAGAGAATTTCACTGTGCACAGATAATTTTGGAAAACTGGGGGGAGGGGAAGTAGAAAATTGCTTATTTTGATTATAGTTAACCCATATTGTAAATTATCTTCAAACTGAACAATTTATGGCTTCGCAAAATCAATCAGAACTTTAGAATAAGTTCTTCTAATAAATTTATTTCCATGACTTAGAACATGTACAATAAATTGCTATTTTCAGAAGGGGTTTTGTGGAGATTTTTTAGAAATTTCACTGATTGAAATCACGAGTCAATTGAAGCTAGATCACCATAGAAAACCTTCATGCACTGGACGGCCGTTTCGTCACACTGTGGGACTCCTCAGCAGTGCGCACCCACGATCCCGCACCCCGCGAGATTTGAACATAGGACCTATCAGTCTCGCGCCAGGCGCTTAACCGACTAGACCACTGATCTGGCATTCAAAGGTGTTAATTTCTAACTTCAACCAATCCACGAAGTTGCGCCACCGTACACCATTGTCTTCAGTGAGTTATCACCTCACAAGAGACCTGGTTGAACTCCACTGGTAACGGATTCTCACTAGAACTCCAGGAGTATCTCTTCAAGAGTCCCATACTAAGACGAAACGGTAGTCCAGTGCATGAAGGTTTTCCATGGTGATCTAGCTTCAATTGACTCATGATTTCAACCAGTGAAATTACTATTTACTTGATGTTTTCGAGGAAGGAAGCGCACCGTACTGTGATTTACGTAACTTTGTTATGTTTTCACTACAATGTTTTCTATTACATTTTAAATGTTTTCGAAATAAATCAAGCAGTCTTTTTAACGGTAAAAGTATCAGTTACCTCTACTACTAATAACAATTTTTATAAAATAATCCACATGTTGGAAATGTTTCTTTTTTTGACGTTGGTTTAACACATCTTATAGTTTCATAATATTCTTTCTTCTAAATCAATCAAGATTGTTTGTCTGTAAATTATAAACAAATAAATATTCCTTTTGTATTTTTATAGTCTCTTTTAAAGTATTTACTTGTCTGTTCTTTTTCTAGAAAAAAGGTGACTGACCTAGAAATATTAATGTAGACAATGAATAACTACAGTATCCATGTAAAACTTATGTATTAACATTGTGTGCATGTGTGTGTGTAATACACTTTTCTCTTCTCTATTTATATTCACTTATCATTGTTTAATGCATTTAAAGTGTTATGAAAAGAAGTATAATGTAGAGTTGGTTACTTTAATCGTAAAATTTTTATTACAGACTTGAAAAAACATTATTATAAACTGATAATCATCATTGTTCATTTATCATTATAGTTACAATGGTTAGTATTTATCTGAGTTTAAAGTCAAATTTAACAAGCAATAGATAATAATTTTACAAATACTATTTCATTGTTACGCTATCTCCTTATCATTGTTACAATTTACTATTCACATAGAATACTCATGAGACGATGTAAAATGTAAAAGACTCTTTTATTATTTATTTA